CAGTGAGCTCTTCATTCAGATGACAGTAGCAGTGAGCTCTTCAGATGACAGTAGCAGTTAGCTCTTCAGATGACAGTAGCAGTGAGCTCTTCAGATGACAGTAGCAGTGAGCTCTTCAGATGACAGTAGCAGTTAGCTCTTCAGATGACAGTAGCAGTGAGCTCTTCAGATGACAGTAGCATTGCCCTTGAGGCTTTGTGTGGCTGTGTTCTGCTGAATCCAGTCCAGGTAGTTTGACACCCTGGTGTAAATCCCATAGTAGCCAGGCCGTGCACAGCCCTTCCCCCAGCTGACGATGCCCGTCAGGAACCAGGTGTTCTTGTACCTGGTGACCAGGGGCCCCCCACTGTCGCCCTTGCAGGAGTCCTGTTTGCCATCAAAGTAGCCGGCGCAGAACATGTTGTCGGTGATGTTGATCTTACTCTGCTCCCTGCAGTCCTGAGACCTCTGCCTGGGCACCTCCAGCATCTGGAGGACGGGAGAAATGGGGCCGTTCTCACTCATCTGGCCCCAGCCGCTGACGGTGGAGAAGCGGATGGCCGCCAGATCCCGCTCGGAGAGCTCCTTCTGGGGCAGGCAGATGGGCACGGCGTAGGCGGAGTAGACGATGGGCTCCTGCAGCTTCAGCAGGGCGATGTCGTTGTCCGTGTTCTGTACCCTGTACTTCTTGTGCATGATGACCTTTGCCACCTGGATGGTCTGCTCTGTGCCCTCCTTCTTGTCAATGTTGTGTTCACCTTTTCATAAGACCAAGCAAAAAAACAAAACAGAAATGAGGGACTTTGTTAGAATTTCTAAAAACAAGAGTCACTGGCCCTTGTTATAGAGTTCAATACATGCTGAGGGCCGCACTCTACCAGAGAGCAGCTGATGGCTGTGCCAGAAGCGCCTGTTCTGTTTTCATGCAATACCTGCGACAACTTTGAGATACGCCGCCTTCAGCTTCTCCAGGCAGTGAGAGGCAGTGATGACCCAGTATGGTGTCAGTATCACTCCTCCGCAGAATGGTTTCTTATTATATTCCAAGAGCACCTGGAACAGAGAGTAAAGCCTCTTTTTTATACAATGGTGTTTTTTGTTAAAACCTAAGTGCAAAATAAAAAAATATATATACCTTCTGTTTCTTCAATGCTCCACTTTAATTTTTTCCCTTTTAATTCTTCCTCATGTAAAAATACCAGATGTCATTTGTGCCTGCCTTTTGTTACGACACCCGTGTGTTTTGAAGAACATGCATGAGTTATTCCAAAGCAAGCTGGATCGAGCCCTTCTCTTGCTTTCTCATGAAAGGCTCCAGAGCTCCTACAGCAGAGTACTGAATAGAAGACTACTAACATACAAGGTCACAGAAGCCCCAGGGTTCACTAATTCTAACAAGCCAATGATACTTAAATAGACCTACATCCATAGGGCTGCTGCTGACAGAGCTCTAGGAACTCTGTGTAGATTCTGCATGCTCTTCCTGTGTTTGCGTGGGTTTTCTTTGGATGTTCCTGTTTCCTCTCTACTTCCAAAAACACATTGGCTGGGTTAACTGTGTGCTTCTGTGTGCATGCCCTACAACGGACTGACCTCTCTGCAGAGTCTGATCCCCCCCCCGTTCCTCATACTTCCAGAATTAGGCTCCAAGTTGACGTGACCAAACGGGCAAGATGATCAGGATAGCCTCATCTGATCTATAACTTTTCTTTAATGTTTTTAAAATATATATATATATTGTAACGCAACGGGGGCTCAGGCGGGCGCCCTTGCCGCATCAGGTCGGCCCCATCCCGACTGAGGCTCGAACCCGGGACTCCAGCATCTCTCTGCAGCGACCTAGCCCCGTTGAGCTAAAGAGAGATCTCTCTGCAGCCCAGTAGCTGTGGTCCTGCTATCACAGGGAAGGGCGGTGATGTCACCTGCTCTGGTACGCCGGCTCTTACACAGTGCCTGTCGGCCGTAAGCGTTACAATATATTTTAAAATATATTTTTACGACTTTTATCTGGAACACGTGGCATTCTGCTAATGATGAGTAAGGTTCGTGCAGGGCCGGTTTTCTATACCTGCCAAGGACAGTGGCCTTTAGGACATTCTGTTCCACCAACAATCCTGCCACGTGAGTCACTAGACTTGTCCGTCTTTGCAGACTGGTCCTCCTTTAGAATGGGGATTTTACCACAGGGGTACAGATCTGTGTGGCAGAGAAGGAAAGGCACATGGAGCCGTGACTCTGGTATGATCTCTGAGTTATAAAAACAAGTTTGAATGTACTGCAGAAAATATCCACAATTTATTATAAATATCCCCAGCATTGTATCTATCCAGTTAACTAAACACATTCACCAAACTGGACCTAGCATAGAAATGAAATTAATTTAATAATGCAATCAACTCATTGCATCTTTGCAAGGCAGTGACTGTTTTTTGCTGACGTGAAGAAGATTCTTTATCCTTGAGGTTTCGTTTGATTTGTATCCCATATCCTTTATCCCCGCGGTGTTGGATAATTCAAGTCTTACACAGCAGGTGGGTGTTTTGACCCTCTTTTGAAAAAAAAAACTGAATTAATTGCAGTATCTCTCTAAAACAACTCCCCTGCCTAAAGCAAAAAAACAGCTGAGAGTTTAAAATGTGCTGGTCTACAGTCTTGAACCAGTGCACTACCCCATTCACGTCAACAATCATTTCTGTCTGTCTAGGTTTATTACGGGTTTTTCTTTCATAGTCCAGTTGTCAAAAGGGCTCTGTACCCACCCTGGGGCTCGCACGTCTCTCCGTCCTCGCCGAGAGCGTAGCCCTGCGCACACTCACAGCTCCTCTGGCCCCCGGTGTCGTTACAGAAGTGCTCACACCCTCCGTTCAGGTAAAGACATTTGAGGGTGTCTTCAATTGCTATGGAGATGGAAGACAGGGCAGAGAGCTGGGGAGATACAGCTGTGGGTTCTTGTCGGTTCCCTGTCCTATTTAGGGCCATCAGAGAAACAAAAAAAAACTGTTTCCTAGTATGTCATTCCATTTCTTCCAGGATAGATGGTTTTTAGTGCAAACCTTTGAGACTGCAACAGGACGTGTGGGCCTAGTGTCAACTCTTACCTACTGTATTTCCACAGGTGTGCGCAGATTTCTAAATGTAGTCAAACCTGCTGTCTGTCTGCCTCCATCTACTGTACTCTCATTGGCAGAAAAGCCCAGGCCACAGACAGATGGAATTTAACTCCTGAATACCTGATTTTGGTTATTATCACATCGCATGTACCCGTTGAAATGTTTAGGGATTATATTGAAACTGTGACTGTGGATAGGTGAGTTTATATGACATTTGACAGAGACTGGAGTCCTGAAAAAAATGACTCTTGAGCACTGACCCAGTGTGTGGACCATGTCTGGCTATTGGCAAAGAGAAACAGGTTTACAAATGGTGCCTGGAGATCAAGGCTGAATCAATACAGGGGCAGCACTCAAAATCTCTATCCCCAAAGACATGCCACACCAAGGACTCAGTTGGCCAGATTTTGGCCAGCATTTTCTGGGATTCAAAAGGGGTTCTGCTAATAAGTTAAATATCTAAAATATTATTGACCAATTTCAATCTGTCCTGGAGACATAGCTACATGAATTCGTTTGTGAAAAGGGCAGACAGAGGGTATTGACACACGGTGCTCCCTTTGGCACTATAATGTGTTAGTTTCCAAGCACAGAGATGCACATAATTCACCACTGTCAGTGTGCAGGTGATTCATCAGCTCTGTAGCTCAGACTTGGGCCTGGGTATTGTGTGTTTTTTTACATGCATAGTTTGTGTTAAAGGAGAAGTTTGAAGGATTCTTTAATGGGAAAATGGCAGTTGAGAGGCGAGGAAAGTCAAGTGTATGACTGTGGAAGGTGCTTACCTTACTTTAAGTTGAGAAACTACTGTTATCTTGTTTCTCGATTCCTAAGTTACAAAACAATCTTTTGAATGTCCCTTACGAGCATATATTTTATGTGTGCATAGGAACAAGTAAAGGCTCATTCCAAACTGAAAAGTCGAAAAAGAAAACACAAAATTTCAGCTGAACAAAAAGAAATTAGAGTGCATAAGTGTTAAAACTCAGATGTGAAACGAAGAAATTCGCCAGTACAAGCATTTTGATATATTGTATCAGAGTCTTAGGTTTTGGGGATCCTTAAGATGTGCTTATACAACCTAATGCTCATTCAAGCTTATTCACAGGAACAGGTATCAGCTGGGTGCCTCCAGTATGTACTTTGCACTTTTCCCTTTTTTAAAAAACACATTGCAGAGGGACATTGTGACCCAATCACCTTTATCCTGAAAAAACCCCAGGAGCAGGCAGGGGTGAGTTTACCTTCTTCGCAATTCCTCCCATTGAAGCCTTCAGGACAGAAGCAAGTGTATGCATCTTGAGAATTCACACAGGTTCCGTTGTTCTGACATGGATTTGATTCACAGCGCTTTTCAACTGTCAGAATTCGAGGAAACATAAAGAACATAAAGAGTCTGAGAACCTGGACAATTCTTCATGACGTCAGCAAATAACATTCACACAAACATCCACTCACAAAGTTTGAAACTCGAAAGTAGTTTTCAACCTATAATTCCATCACCATCTTCCTTTTAATTTTTGCTTTCCAAGTCATTGGATTATTTCCCCTTCAAAACTGTTAAGTGCTTTTGGACACTAGTGGGGGCTTTGCATGACCCGTAGATAAATATCGCCATCCTGCAGGCATAGCTACCCAAACAAGGGGCAGTACAGATGTACTGCCATCAATGAAAGGCATGAGTGACCCTAAAACACTCAATCACTTCGTTTGACATTCGTGTTGGCTCAGGGAACCCATTCATCTAGTTCATTTCACTTGCCTTACGTCATTACTTACCATTGTAGTTTGTCCAAAACTCATTCTGTGGAAACAAACAAAGAGTTTTAATTCCATTAAACGGATAAGAAATGCGATCAACAACTGCTGATCACTTATTGACCGAGGGTATCACTAACCAGCGTAGACACGGTTCCTAAGGCTAAACAGTTTTTCCTGAGCAGAATTCTCCTCACAGGCTCGGACACTTCATCTCAGGTGATTTTCAGAAAGGGCCAAATGGAGCGGAGGCCTTTCAGCAAAACTAGTTCGGCTTTTACTCACCAGAAGAGGTAATGCTATGAAATGAATGTGCGAAATGAGTTTTTTTTCCTTGGGAAACAGAACATTAACTCCCTGTTTCACCCCTCAGAAAGTCACCCCTCATTCATTTATTTCCTTTTTTTTAAATGATATAATGTTAGCATGCCCAAAGGGGTTGAGCAGCCAGTTGACCTTGGACCTTTCTTCTCCTTACGAGGGAGTTTGTGGTTCCTCTCCTCCGTTGTCTTCTGGTCTTTTATGTTCTTTATTCACAACATGTATGGTTACTTGCATTGTTAAGCGCCTTGGAGCCACCTTGTTGTGAAAGGCGCTATATAAAAAGAAATTGGATTGAATTAAAAGTGCCAGGAAAAAAGGCCCTGTTAGAAAGCAGCAGGCGTGTAATGACAGCAATCCAAACAGCTGTTCAGTTTTTAAGGCCGTATCAGTGGTGTCCTGTGCAAGGTCATGCCTAACAGCTGGAGGGAACTGTGTAACTACGAGCTTTAATAATAATAATAATAATAATAATAATAATAATAATAATAATAATAATTATTATTATTATTATTATTATTATTCCTTACACTTATATAGCGCTTTTCTGGACACTCCACTCAAAGCTCTTTCCAGGTAATGGGGATCCCCTCCACCACCACCAGTGTGCAGCCCCACCTGGATGAAGCTCCAGTCCTCTCCCCACACACCAGCTCTCAGTGTGGAGGAGAGCAGAGTGATGAAGCCAGATCAGAGATGGGGATTATTAGGAGGCCATGATTGGTTAGGGCCAATGGGAAATTTGGCCAGGACACCGGGGTTACACCCCTACTCTTTTCAAGAAACGCTCTGGGATTTTTAATGACCACAGAGAGTCAGGACCTCGGTTTTACATCTCATCCGAACGGCGGCTTTCCCTCTGCTTAGTTCTCCTGATGTGCTGGCAGGACATGAGGCCAGCCAAGCAGAGGGAAACCTCTCGGTGACATGGAGTATGCATCCCGCATGAAAATCCATATTTCAGAACCCGGCCCAGTACTCACGGATACCCACCCCATCACACTTTGCACCTGCAGCCGTGTCTTACCGTGGCCTCGTCGTGCTCGTACACCTCTCTGGCCTCCTCGTAGGAGCACTTCTCTTCCATGCACTCCCGCTCCAGGTTCCCCATCTTCAGCTCCTCGAGCCAGCCCGCGTTGGCCCGCGGGCGCCGCCGCAGGACGCCGTGAGCCTCGTCTCTGCTCACGAGCACCGCAGAGGGAACTGTGCAGGCGGGAGGGGACACATCTGAGGCGCGCCAGCTAAACGGGGAGGGACTGCCGTCCCAGCGCTAAGCCGCACAACAAGAGGAGGAATTGCTGTCCATGGGGCCTGGCCACAGCTTAATTAAAACAACCAGAAGCACTGCTCCACTTCTAACACACAGTCTCGAACCTCACTAGGATAACACCACCTCAACGTTTACTTATTACATTTCCTAGCTGTGGAAAATAAGGTAGCGTTGTTAATTCAGTGTTGAAAACGATTTCATGTTTCAGGCGTTGATGATTATGACATACAGTAGGCAAACACACTGCCACTTGAGAGAAGCTGCAGTAATGCACTAGATTGGGAAGCAGGAAACTTGGCTCTGGTTGTAACTGCCTTGATATTATTATGAGTCCATCCACCCGGGTTTGGTAACTGCTCAGTCCCATACAGGGTCACGGTAAGCCCGAGCCTCAGCTGTCGAACAATGGCATTCATGGCACCAAGGCATGATGGGACACTAATTCACTGCAGAGCACACGCATTCAGCCACTCTCACACACACAATTAATGATTCATGGAGGACAATCAGCCTAGACACCACATTTTTGGATAGTAGGTGCTAACTAAAGCAGAGGGTGAAAGATGGCCCCCATGCTAATGGAAAAACATTCAAGCTCCACACGTAAGGCATCGCAGGGCAGAATCAAATCCAGGAGCCAAGAACTGTGAGGCAGCAGGTCCAATGGGTCACACCAACTTGCCATCTGACATGGGTATCACCCACTGACTCTATGCTTAATACAAATTTAAAGTATTTAAAAATGGGGATCTGACGAACACATAGCAAGTCAGTCACATAGCAAGTCATAGCAATACACTTAGTTCTCGTTATTATTGCAGTAGCATCTACAGTATTAGCTTGTGAGGCAACATGACCGGAATTCTGTTTCGTAACTTGGAACTGGCCTGGCTCTTTCTGAAATTCTGGCTTTGTAAATTGTCCACCGTTTCAAGCTGATTACTTTTTTTGTGGATACACTGTTCCGTCAAACTAAAACCACTTTACTCTTCATTCACTCTCAAGAAACCACAGTTTCATCATAATGCCACTTTGTCTCTCCCTGGCATTGAGTTAAGTCATGATTCTTGATTTGCAGTTATATTTTTCTCTTTTCATTTTGTCTGAAGAGAAGGCAGGTGAAACGCATGACGAAAACCAGTTTTCCAACAGCATGCTAAGAAACCTACAGTACAAATAATATTCTAACTACGGTAGTACTTCACAGAACTATAGCCTCTCTTCTTTAATGAGGCACTTCTTTAAAAAAGCAAACATATTTTTTGTGAAGATTACCTCAAGAAACAAATACATTCATAATTAATAAACATTAATGTAAGCTGTGAAGTTAATATTAATCATTTTAAAAACAAGGTAAAGGCAACAACATGGAATTTATTAATTCAGTCATTTAAATCAAAGGAAAGGCTGAAATATAAGTGCGTTTTAAAGCCGATATTGTAATTAGTGACTGAAATTCTAAAAAATGTACACCTTTGTGACAAATGAGGCTTCAATATCTCACTGTCTTCTGAACAATTCAGCCTATGAGTACTGTAAATGTTAGGGAAACAGTAATAGGTTTATTCCATGCTGAAAAAAAAGAAGAAAGAAAACACAACGTTTCGGCCGTGGAGCCTTCTTCAGCTGTGTGACACTTCTTCAGGTGTGAGCAAGAAGGCTCCACGGCCGAAACGTTGTGTTTTATTTCTTCTTTTTTTTCAGCATGGAATAAACCTACAGTATTACTTGCCTCTTTGCAGCCTACGCATGCTGACGCAGCTCCCCACCTGAACTGCTGTAAATGTTAGTGCAGCCAGCAGTTATACAGTACAACATCATCACAATGCTGTTCAGAGCACTCCCTTGTTGTCAGCATTTCTTCCAAAGTGAGAGCTTTCAATGGCTAAACTATTGAACGGTCCCCCAAGATACCAATAAGCCATACCTGTTGCCGAAAAAGAGCAGAGAACTGCTGAGACAAGGCAGAGGAGTTGGAACAGCATGCTGAATCGTTTGCTTCTGAATGCCAGACTCTCCTCAGATGTCCAAAATTCTTCTGCCACTGCTGGTTTCATGCACTGCCATCGCTGCTGTCCCCTGCCACAGCACTGTGCTTGCTAAGCAAGATAAAGGGAGCACAGGCTGCAAATCTTTTTTTTTTCAATCCTTTATTTAACCGGCAAAGTCAGTTGAGAGCAAATTTGCATGAACAGTGAAGATCTTTTTTATATATCTATACACAGCAGCATGTGAAGTACCTGCATCAAGCTAAGTACAGCAGGTTCTTGTCTGGGACTCCCGATCGCAAGATCCTCAGAGCTCTAAGTGCTGCATGACCCCGCCTCAGCCTGTCTCCTGTGCCAGTGAAAGGCCCCCTTCTCTCACTAGCATTCTGACTACATAACCACAGCACTGACGTCGTGCCTGGACTGGTTTGCACTGCCACATAATTAGTGTAACAGAGAGTTTACATGTAGTATCAGACCTTTTTGTAGAGTAATATACAGAGGTGGAAAAAAAAAGATCTTACAGGCTATGTAAGCCTGACTAAACCATTTTCAAAGTACAGAATTAGTCTGAAGCCTCAGTGCAGAGTACAACAGGGAATACAATTCCAGAGCAGAAATGTCTGTTGTGAGGCAAGCAAAGCAGTCTGAATGAAGAGAGGCCTCTGTGAGGCTCCTTAGTTGTATAGTGTTTATATGGAGCAAACAGGAAGTATAGAGGAGATCAACAAAACAGTTGATGAAGAGATAAGATATTCCTGCTTTTCCATAATACAACTTTTTTTCTTGAATTTGAAACAATGTTTTTGTTTATATAGAAATGAAATGTAAATGTTACTATTGCATTGATGGTCCACATTCTTTTCTTTGTTTTATAGTGTACATTATCCATTAGGTTAAAATATGATTGTTCTGAAAATGAGATTTTTGATAAAAAAATCAATGACAAAAAGTCAGAAGGCATTTCGGTTTTAAAAAATGAGAGCTCCTTAAAACCCGTTAATGGTAGGATACAGTTCACTTGCATGAAATCAGACATCGCCCTAACACACTTAAAAATATTAGATGACCTCCTATGCTATGCTTAAATGTCCAGAAGTGGTCAGACTTTAATAAGGGTCGTGCTTGAAAAATGTAAGCATAATCCTCACATGAGCAGACTGAACTGGGGAACATGATCTCCTTGCACTGCCTCTGTTAATCTGTTCCATATTGTATGTGTATTTGTAGTAAACTTAAAACTAAATCACTTTTTAGCCAAAACTCATCGCAGAAATTTGGTTTCGTCCCGGCTAACGCACACCTCAAATTTTAAAGTGTGTTTTGAGGCGTACCAAAATTTCCTTTCCGGATAAATGTAGGGTACAAAGGAAACAGTTTGAGCCAAGGCAATGAGAATTAATTCAGTTTACTTGTTAAAGTATTTCCTGGCCCCGCTGTAAGATGTGCACTTGTAGTGCAGCTCACAGAGAAAGATAAGGCAGGCGTGTGGGAAACAGGCTTTTGATCACATGCTTTTCTTCTCATCAACCACCAGGTGGTGAGGAGGAGCTTTCCACCTGCCCGCTGTCCCTGTTAAGTGGACATGGTCTTTTCCAGCCAGTCCAGGTAGTTGGACACCCTGGTGTAAATCCCATAGTAGCCAGGCTGCGCGCAGCCCTTCCCCCAGCTGACGATGCCCGTCAGGAAGGTGGTGTTCTTGTATCTGGTGACCAGGGGCCCCCCGCTGTCCCCCTTGCAGGAGTCCTGCTCGCCCCCGAAGTAGCCGGCGCAGATCATGTTCCTCGTGATGGCCATCCTCGTCTTGGACCTGCACTCCTGGCTCCTGACCCGCGGCACCTGGAGGCGCTGCAGCACGTTGGCCGTGGGCCCGGCCTGAGAGAGCTTCCCCCAGCCGCTCACCGTGGAGAGCCGCACGGAGGCCAGCTCCGTCAGGGCGAACCGCCGCCGCGGCAGGCAGACGGGGATCACGTCCGGCGAGTACGTCAGGCCCCCGTCCAGCCTCAGCAGCGCGATGTCGTTGTCGGCCGAGCTGGTGTTGTAGCCGCCGTGGATGATTTTCTGCTGCACCCCCCTCATCACCTCCGTGCCTTCATGTGTATCTCGTATGTGCTCCCCTTTCGCAGACAGAAGGTGGAATGAGCAGAGCTGCTTTCCCCAGCAGGAACAGGTGGGAAGTGGATTTGTGTTGTATGCAGACCTAACAAAGCTAATTCTCCTAATCTATGAGGAAGCACAGCAGAGGTTTGTGTGTTCACAGTAATTAATAACAATTATTCTTCACTTCTACTGCTCTTTTCTGGACACTCCACCCAAAGCTCTTTACAGGTCATGGGGACTGCCCTCCACCACACTAGGTGTGCAGCCCCACCTACTGTAGACGATGTGACGGCAGCCATAGTGCGCCATTACTGGGGAGGAGAGCAGAGTGATGAATCCAATTCATAGATGGGGATTATTGGAAGGCCATGATTGGTAAAGGCCAGAGGGAATTTGACCAGGACACCAGGGTAACACCCCTCTTCCAGCAGCAACCTTAGCTTTCCCAGGAGGTCTCCCATCCAGGAACTGGCCAGGCTCACACCTGCTCAGCTTCAGTGGGGCTGCCAGCTGGGAGTCGCAGGGTGATATCTGTGCTGTCTATGTGATAAAGCTGTTGGCTGTGGGCTACATACCTACAATAAAGAATCGACAAGGAGGTTAACACACACCGAGAATGACCTTCAGTTTTGACACAGGGATGCCGTACACACAGTGAGCAGCAGTGAGGACCCACTGGACGTCTATGATAATCCCACCACACAGGTAAGCCCCTCCATTCTCCAGAAGAGCCTACAGAAAAAGGGAGGCAGTCAGCATGCAAGCTGTGGCTTCATGCACTGATACAGAAGTCAAACCTCTAATGAAAACTTCCCCTGAACTCATCCCCTGAACCGGGTAACTGAAAATCGGTTGACAAGTCCGCCGACTAACTGAACTCAGGTGTTCAGTGCCAGAGCGTACTCCTCAACTAGCCTCAGGATTAACTACTAGGAATGATTAAGACATCAGAGTTTGAAACTGCTTATTTCTAAAGGCTACAGTGTAGTGGCCAGAGCCAGGGTCACGTCAGTAGTAGACGCTGACGAGGACTCCCTGGTGATGTTGCCGTCTGAGCACAGCGGCCGGGTGGGCTGGAGTCAGCAAGGGCGCTTGGCACATTTTGGTGCCACTCCAGAGACCTGCTGAACACCAGCAGCCGTGGGGCAGCTCAGGGGGAGACATGCAGCTCCTCCACGCCTCGCGCACAGCACTGTGGCGCACTGAAGCCGAATGGGGGTGAGATGTGTCAGAGGAGCTTGTTTGTGGGTCCCCATCCCCCTCGTCTGACACGGGAGCTGAGTGAGTCATGAGCAATAAATCATCTTTACATTTAAAGAGCACTTTTCTAGACACTCCAGTCTCTACAGGTCATGGGGACTCCCCTCCACCGCTACCAGTGTGCAGCCACACCTGGATGATGTGCCAGTACACTCCCCACACCCCAGCTCTCAGTGGGCAGGAGAACAGAGTGGTGAAGCCAGTTCAGAGAGGGGGGTTATTAGGAGGTCATGACTGGAAAAGGGCAGGGGAAAAATGTGGCCAGAACACCAGGATTAAGACCCCTATTCTTCTTGAGTAACACTGGGATTTTTAATGACCACGGAGAGTCGGGACCTTGGTTTTATGTCTCGTCCTTCGGACAGCACCTTTTTACAGTATAGTGACCCTGTCATTACAGTGGGGCATTAGGACCCACACAGACCGCAGGATGAGCGCCCCCTGCTGGCCCCACTAACACCTCTTCCAGCAGCAACCTGAGCTTTCCCAGGAGGTCTCCCATCCAGGTACTGGCCAGGCTCACACCTGCTGAGCTCCAGTGGGCTGCCAGTGGCGACTTCCGGGTTGATGTAGCTGCTGGGTGTGACCCATAAGAGGTTGTAAATTGTGTACAGTAGGTGTAAAAGTTAAACCCATAAGCAATCCCAATTTGTCTTCTTGTAAAAAGGCAATACAATTGAAATCGGGCCTTCTTTTCTACTTCATGTGATAAGCCGGGAGTGTGAACGCGTTTTTCCTCGAGCTGGCCCTCAGTCGAGCAGTACCTACCTGCCAGGGACACTCTCCTTTGGGACACACAGTCCCTCTGACTATCCTCGGTCTGAAGTGGTTTTCCACCCTGCCACAGGGGAACTTCACTGTGCGAGGCGAAAGAAGAATTTGTACTCAACAATGGGGTGTATGTTGTCTCTCTCCAGCTCCTCCAGTCTTTAGAACACGCTCTGACAAAGTGAGGTATGGTTGGGGAGTTGTGCACTTATTAATTTGACCTTGCAGTACAATCGATTATAACAGAACAGTCACCCAGAGACAAGGCTCAATGCAATTGATATAAGCTACTACTGTATGTTTCCAAGATGTGGCTCTGATATTTCTGCATAAACAAATCTGTGAGATAATATTTTATTTATGCATTTATTTATAGTCCGATACAAAAATTAAGGTTAATTAAAGGTTTGTCAACATGGCTAGAAACACTATCGTAGTGTTTATCGGCAACAGAAAATAAAGACGCACCTTGTGGAATACAAGATGTGTTGTCCTTGTCCAGAGAATAACCTGGGGCACATTCACAATGGTGAGGGGATCCAGGCACTTCAACACAGAAGTGCTCACAGCCACCGTTCATGTAAATGCAGCCCAAGTCATTCCTAAACTCTAGGAGGGAGAAAGCAAAAGCAGACTTGTGAAACGTCAGGAAAATGAACCTCCTGATTCCAGTTTTCAGTGGGAAATACAGTAAACAGCACACCATTCCCCTTCTAAATGTGAATTCGAAAAGTAATGAATTCCAAGAGGCTAAGTTATAAAACGTTGGTCTTCCCCTTACCAATCTCACAGTCCCTCCCCTCATATCCCGAGGGACAGAGACAAACATAAGACTTGACATGGTCAACACAGGTGGCTCCATTTTGACACGGTGTAGAGTTACACTCATTCTCTTCTGAAAGGCAGAACAGAGATGCGTCAGTACAACGTAGAGGAATTATGCTGAAGTTTTTGCTCCTGCAGATCTTTAGGGGGTGTACTTTACATTTAAATCTCAAAACCTCTGGAAAGTGCAGAGATTTTTCATGTCTGTATTTTTTTAACAGTATTTCTTATTTTCGCATTTTTGGAAGTGGGGTATTCCGCTTCTTTGATTTCTTTTAACTTGTTGAAAGCGTGTGCCCCATGTATTTGAGTCTTAGCCTGTCAGTGTAGGACATTAGTTTAAGCCAGGAATCAATTAAGGAGGAAATTGTCATGTTTGCTAACTATACCAGAATCAAGGTCACTGATCTTAATTAGGAAGAGCTGTTGTCCCAGTCCAATCTGAGAATTTGCCTCTTTATCTTTGCCTCTATTGTTTATATTAACCAGTTTCTAATCTGAACATGGTACACAGATTACCTTGAATGCTTACTGCCTGCAATTGAAAAGTATATTTATGTATTAGGAGAGACTATATCGTAAATCGTTTGAAAATATAAACATAAGATTAAACTTTAGTGAGTATACTGTAGCTCTTTCAAAATCAACGAATGAATGCAATATTTAAATAAATTAAGGAAAACTATAAATACAAGAAAACAAAGTAGCTACAGATGATAAAACAATCACTAAAAAATCACAAATCACAAAAAAGTTTGACTTGAAAGCACCCATTGAGCCAGAGCCCCTGATTTCTTTGTAGTGTTTCTTTGTAATGTATTTTTGTACATTACCTCACCTAAAGCTTAGCACGCTTCTACAGGGATACTGGATAGTATAGTTTCTTGCAGGACATTAGAAGTAAATCTGTTTTAAAACACAGTTTTCAAGTTCTGTCCCGAGAATATCAATGATCTGTTAGCATGAAAACCTGGTTATCTTAAGTAATTATATCAGTGAGTTTCATATATCATGTACTCTATATTAACAGTCTCACTGTGCAGGATATGAAATCTATTGAGATTTTCAAACACCATGCTTATACGGTACATATACAGTATATTGACCTGAAGGCATCTAAAATAGACCTTTTTCACATCATCGGTCTGGTCTGGAAACATACCTGCGTACGTTCTCCAGAACTGTATCTGTAAATAAAAATTAAGAAGATCCGGTTACAGAGGAGTACTGCCATTACCTGTCAGTGTGGTTGACCTGAGGGAAGAAGTCATGATGGTGTCAGGGCAATCCAAGAGCACACGCTTTCATACACAATATCACAGTGTTCCAATCTTCCCGTCACACAAGCGTAACCCCATAACACAGCACTATAAACAGCACTATAAGAGCAGACGGAAAGCAGACAACTTACAAAATTTTCGTGAAAGGAAAATATCTCTTTCGCCTCCTCGTAGGAACATTTTTCTTCCAGGCACTCTCTCTCCAAGTCTCCCAGCTTCAGCTCCTCCATCAGCGAATTGGCACGTCTCTGCCTGTACAGAAGGACTCGGTTTGCTTCGTCTTTCTGTAGGAAAACTGGGAGGGAAAAGCCATTTGAGTTACAACTGGAAAGCTGTATTAAAAATATAATCTTTCTGTATCTTCAAAAATGTTAGGATTATAAAAAGCATGTCATGAACAGGTATGTTTTATTAAACATAGAAGAATTTTCCAATTTCTTTTTAATGTCTGCATCTTCAGTGCAGTGCAGGTTTCTGTGAACATCTTTACATAAACAACCAGATCAACTCACTGCATTCTTTCATTTTCTCTACACTGGATCATTTCTCTTTATGTGTCAGCTTATTCTACTTATGGATTCGCAGGAAATAGAAAAACTTGTTCTATATGTTAAAAACTCATCTATACCAATATTTTAAAAAATAAATGACCAAACAAATAAGATGTTGCCAATGTTTTTGTGTGAGTGTGGTAGGGGGGCACAGGTTTTCTATTCCAACTTCTGGGATATCCGGAAAGTATAGGAAATGATACTAGTGTATTATAGGAAACAATGGATCTTCTCTAACCCTTTTTGAAAGTAAATGAGAAAGTAGACTCACCATTCGGATAACCACAGCAGAACCTGGTGATAATGAAATGTAGAAAGAAACTTAATATCAGGACTTTCCACAGATGAGACTCCATTCCACAAGCTGAACAGCGGCACTCTGACTAAAGTTCACCTCCTAGTCCTAACACAGCAGATGGTGGTCTACGTATGTGATTTGTGTGCTCGTGAGTTTTCTACGCTGTATTTCAAATCCTATTTTAAAATAAAGAGATCAGAACACACATACAGTATGACTGTATTGTATCCCGACACACACAATTGATTAAGACAGTTTAACACAGTTCATATACACCTCTGGGCTTGAAAAAGAACTGAAAGAACACTAGCTAGCAGCGAACTGCTCACTTCAGAAGATGAAGATTTTGTTTTCTTCATCCTTTTATTCACACTTAAGAGCAGAGATGGGATTGACTGTCCCATTGTTCATTACATTATTAATAACAGTTAAGAAAATTAATAACATAATAATTAACATTAATAACACTTGTCACCAAACCCTGACTGTAGATCACTACATGTGACAGATGACATGCTACATTTTACTTTTTTATTAAACAGATGGCTTGGAAAAAAATAGCAGATTTACACACCAAAAGCGATAAGTAAATGTCAATGAAACTCAGATAAATCAGGAATACAGAACATCTCACGACATTATGATATGGTTGCATAATACGGCACGTTCAGCAAGACATATATATTATTTATTTTGGCAAAAACAGATATATTACTCTGAGGAATTCATACAAACACAAGGACTTCTGCTCTGAATTCAACATTTATTTCAGACATGAAGAATGTTGACTAACATACTGCAGAGGTACAGTGATAAGACAGCTTCATAAACATGAACGCAAAGAAACATTCCTTCATGTTAAGACATTACAAGAAATCTCACTCTGGTGTGACAACTAAATAAAACAAAGCACCATTTTCTTTTTTATACAAGTAACTCATCAGACAGTAGTGTACGTATAATATCAATCATAATAAGATGCAGAAAATTCTTCTTATTCTTGCTATGTCACAAGTTGATATCTGACCCCGGGAATGTACCTATATTATTTCCCAGACATTTGAGTTGAAAATACAGCTAGACTGTCTCCATGTTTACTAAGCAAAAAAGTTATTTTTACTTTTATGGAAAATCACAGTTGTTTTGTTAATTTTTACAGATAAGTGCTATCAAAAGTATCCACACTTAGTGCAAATAAAGTCAAATCCATGCTGTGCCAGATGCAGTACTAATAATAGCATACTCATCTTAAAAGCAACTCATTTTAAAATTATTTTTAACTCTACAAGGATAGATATTTTAAAGAAAGACATATGTTGCAATGTGGTGTACAGGAAAAAAAGGCACAACAAAACAAATGTCTAAGAATAATTACAGCCGAGAATATATTTTGCACCATTATGGACAATCCAATTCTAGACAGTTCTTTCTCTTCCAGGTAATTGTACAGTGCACACTAGTAAACTGTAATCTGTTCACAAAGTGACACAGACAACAATATGCAATGTATTTAAATGTGAATAAGTTGCCAAAGAACACATCTGCCACACACTGCAAATGACCCAGCCGTGAATTTGTTGTCTTTCAGCTTTTAGTCTGATGTTCTCACTGATGGGCCGTCTTTCTTCATGCCTGCAGTGGTCAGGATCTGTGTCACCTGGCTGCAGGCAGTCACCAGGCCACCCTTCCAGGCCTGGGGGATGGGACCTCCCTGGTGAACCGAGGCTGCCCCCAGGAGGGCCCCCAGCGCGGCGCCACGGTTACAATTTTCACCTGAAAAAGAGACCGTTCGCCTGTTGGTGTGAAAACTCCTCTCACACAGCCACTCCTGCCCGAGAAATGCTGAGAATTTCTAAACCCTTTGAACGGATGACTAATAATTAAAGACGGCATAAAGGAATAACGTTTGTGGATCCTCTCTTGATCAGAAAAATACATCTGCATACCATCTCAGATATAATGTGGAAACTGAATATAGTCTCGTTACACATTTAGCAAATCTGGGTTGATGCCCAATTTGCTTCTCCTAAAACGTCCAAACAGACCCTTTTTTTTCAGATTCCCAAATATTAATGATGCGATAAAGGTAAATCTATACAATAGAAAGAAGAAAGAAGCTTCTTGAGGCTACGGAATGAACACTTAAGATCACTTTATTGGCCATGCAGTGTTGTTACACGTACCTCCGCAGTTTGTGTTTGCCAGGATTCCTCCACTGAAGTCATCGTAATATTCATATGCCAAGTAAAACAGGCTGCTGAGGGCTCCTGCGAGGACACCACACCCAAAAGCTCTGGATTTACAGGGGTTCTACAGCCACTGTCACTCAAGACTCATTTGCAGGGACAAATTCATTCTTGCGGTAAAAGCAGGTGATAGGGACACTTACCGACACAAGTACTCTAAAGCAGTAAGCATTATACTTCAAGTTTCCTATGCTGAATATGTTATTTTACTTTACATTTCCATCAAGGACTTGGGACACAGATTGATAATTCGTGCAATCACAGATGTAAGCATCTGCATCCTCTCTTCCCAGAGAGGGTACACAACTCACAGATTTATTGAGCACGATACAGTAAGTACTGGGTATTAAAGACAAATTATTTGACAATGTTGTTTCTGTTGGACACTGTGTGAATAAAGTAACAAACGACTTCCAGTGAATACGTTATGTTAATGACATGGGTAGTGAATACTGTTCTCATACAGAAGCCTACAGTGCAATAGGCACACGCTGTGATGATTCAGATGTACAGAAATATGCTGTTTTTTTAATGGCGGTGACCTTTCATGTAGCATGCCAGACCAAGGGAAGCCACAGCAGTCTGATGGACTCCCAGCCTCTCTTCTGGTGACCTTGGAAGTCAAGACGAGAGACATGTGACACAAACAGGATCTAATCACAGACAAGCACACAGCAATTTGCCTGATATCCACAGAACGTGGAAACGACCTCGATTCGTGCTATTCAGATAACGACAGTATCTGCAATTAGCACACATACACAGGCTGTCAAAGCTACTTACTCGGCCCGTTACTGATACAGGGGGTCTATGTTTTAAAGGAATTCCTCTTGGTGAAGGTGGTGATGCATAGTACGAATGACTTTAACACTGTGCCTTCTGCAACCGGGTAAAAGAAGAAACACTGTTGGTGTCCGTACGCAGTAGGGTTTACTTACCGGGCAGCTCTGTCTATGTAAGGCAGGCAGGTCTCCCAGGCGTCCAGCACGGGGCATCTGAGGGCTGCTTTGGCCTGCTGTCTCAGACACGCCCCGTTAAGGACGGCGTGCAGCGTTCTGGCGTACAGGGTCACACACTCGTCCAGCTTCGGGTGGGGGTGTGTGAGCCGCACCAACTCCACCGCCGCGGTCACCTGTACCGCAAGGGGGGATCGAAATGAGCTGAGCTGGATTTTACCGGCTGCGTTAAAAAGGGTTTTTCACCGGATTTAATTGAAGATACGCTTATGCCAATTTTTACTAGGAAGCAGCAGCAAAGATGAATGTTTACCTTGTTGAATGTATGATCTGCAACTTACCAAGGGCATCTGGTGACATTTGCTTAAGTTCGTTTCTTCCATTGTGGACTACGCTATACATTATATCAAGGGTCAAGGAAGTGTCAAAGCTTCCCATGAAACGTTTAAGGGCCTTGCCTTAGGAATCCCTTAAAGGCAATTCAGGTATTTATTTTGCTTTTACAATAAGAAAACCCCCCAAAAAACACATGAGCGGGGTCCGTTTGTTGTTTTGTAAACAGCGGTCTTAAGTCGCTGCTTAAGACCTGTCAGAGTGAACAGGATTTGTATTAGAAATACGGGATTCACTAGAAAGAGTCAGAGCCCACTGCTACCACATTGTGTAATATCAGAACAAATCCAATAGCTATAGCGCCAGTCACCAGTGTAGGCAATATTAGTGTTAGTATTTGTTGAAGTTTAAGTAGGTACAGTAGCTGCGTCAGCATGCGTAGGCTGCAAAGTCAACAAATCAAGGAACAAGGCTCCACAGCCAGAAAGTTGTGTTTCTTTTCTTCTCTTTACACCATCTAATAAACCTTTACTTGTTCCTTAATATTCGTTTGATTATTTATAGTGATGGGACCTCAGGTTCACCTGCTTTTCTGTGTGCTTCAGATTTTGTGGGTTCCTTCGTGGTTTTTCCCTTTTCCTTTGGGGGATGCTGGTGATCACTGCTGTTTGGTTTTTAAAGGTGGACCTTGACGGCCTCCTTACAGGAGAAATGACTTGTCTGTATGTAAAAACACAGCTTAAGGCAAGGAGTGCCCCTGTGTGGTAACTATGAAGAAGACAAAGCTCTAGCAAGCAGGAACCTACACGTTGCTGTAATCAATGGCCCTGGTTCAAGAGTTATTTGCATGAAGTTTAGTTTATGAGCACAGGATTACATGAAAAAGTTATATCTGTGATAACAATACCAACAGATAATTTGGTATATTGATAGCTTCCTGTTCCTGTAGTTTTAACATCTAGGCGCTGACACTTTTTAATAGATCCCTTTTCCCCTTTTGAAAAATATGTATTCTGAGGCTGAGGGCAGAGAAGCAGCAACTTGTTTCAGGTAAAAAGCTGTGGACATTTCACTGCTATTCTCTTAGAAAAAGAAAAAAAAGTTTTGCTGCTGGAAAGAGCCATTGCTTTTATACTTCGGGACATGTTGTGTGCTGGGGCAGCAGCATCATGACAAAAGATGCAAATAGGCTCAATAAACTTATCAAGAAGGCTGGCACTGTGTTGGGGATGAGCCTTGACCCCATGGAGGTGATGGCTGAGAGGAGAATGTTGACCAAGCTCACAGCCATCATGAACAACACCTCTCATCCGCTTCATGGGACTGTTACTGGGCAGCGGAGCACTTTTAGCAACAGACTGCTCCAGCTACGGTGTTCAAGGGAACGTTTCCGCAGGTCTTTCCTCCCGGCGGCTGTCAGGGTGTATAACGCTGCCCTAGGCTAGGACTGTTAGCCCTTCATTTGCTCGTCTATGGACAGCATGTTGCTCCATTGTACTTTTTGGACAATCAGTCTGTATAAACCTATGCACATTTTGCACATATTTTATTGTTTTTACAGTGACTATGATCATCACATTTTGCACACACCTATGTATTTATTTATTTTTATTTATTTATTTTGTAACTGTTCTGATGTCTGTTTTTGCTTTTCTTGGGCTGGACTGCTGTAACACACCAATTTCCCTACAGGATTAATAAAGTATTATCTATCTATCTATGTTGCCTATTTAAGGCCATAAGGAAACAATTGAAAATTAGGTATTGTAGGTACACCATCAGCTATTAACAGCTATCTCAAAAAGTGATCCTTTTTACACCCATCGCTCTTGCTAGCTTTAAAAAGATGAAAACGTGTGAGCATACCGCCTGGTCCTGCTCTTCTGTGGCGGACAGGAGAATGAATGGAATAGCCATGGGGAGGCACCCTATTGCATCCAGCTGGCTGTCAGGGTGCGACGCTCTCATCTTCCGTCTGCAGCGGTTCACCGCAAACTCGAGAATCTGGAACAAATAAAACAGCTACTTCACATGTGGCAACCCATCGCTACACAGCCTTCAAATACACAGGAAAAAGTCAAGGTTTATTCCTTGCTGAAAAAGAGAAGAAAGGAAACAGGATGGATTCAGTACGGAACAAACTTTTACTTTTATTACTTTTGCTTTGCAGTCTGAGCATGCCAATGCAGCTCCCTATGTGAACTACTTCAGCCTTCAAATACTACTGTTATCTAGTAAGACAGGAGATCTTACTGGACAACACTTGGTTTCTTAAATGCAGGTGACCAACACCGTCTGCGAAAGAATTGCTGGATACTCCAAGATACTGACACAAAAACCATTAAAGCAGCACCACGGTTATAGGGAGAACTGAAAATAGAATCGTTAAAGGTCTATTAAACTTTTTTCACTCCTGCACACTTCGTGGGCAAAGGAGAGAAAGCCTGTTTCTATATCTTGACCTTATCCAGACACTCCCAGAATGCTTAAAAAGGTGGCCACACCATCAAATGGTCAAAACAAACAGAGGGACCAGTAACAGCTAGTAACAACGTTCACAATGCAACATCTTCAAGGGGTCAATGACTAGAAATGTTTAAAGCTGCATTTGCATTGTCTCATTAAAATTCTTCATCTGCCACCTTCATTTCTCTGTGCCAACCAGTAAGTGAAGAATGAAAACACAACAGAAAACCAGCCCTAGAATAGAAAAGTGGAGACCAAGTCCACTTTAAAATTTAATTGCTGACCAGTGTCATCCAATAGTTCATCGTCCACTGCCATCTCAAGTCTTAACAAGCTGCAACTGCTACTTCAGTGACTGAAGCTCAGCCATTGTAGCTACTGTAGTACAGGACAATCAGACTCCCTTGGTTTCTTCTTCACTGGAGGGGACAGGGGTGAAGATGTGCTCTGGTTTCTGGTTTCTGGCACCTGGTATCTGGGATGGCTCCCCAGCACAAGTATAATCAAAAAAGGACATTTTTGGAGGGGAGGAGAAAACAAAAGCAACACATTCAGACACCGTCTTCAGTAACGCTGAGTCACGGTCTCAGTAAGTCTGCCACGTGCTCTCACATTTGAACTAGAATATGGAAGAGAATGAGAAAAAAGGAAAACGAGAACAGCCCTTGCTTTAGACAGGAGTGTAACTGCTTGAGGACTGTACCTTGCTGGGGGAAACAGGCTTGTGCTCCTGCCAGTCGGCGAAGAAAGACCTGTGGAATGACTCTGCGTAGGTCTCCTCATGAGAGCCAGGAGTGGTCATGAAGTGGACATAGTCAGAGAGGACAGCAGCCCGTGCCCCCTCCTCATTCACCATGCGGAACTGACCCTCTGTGAGGGTCCGAGCTGCTTTCAGGGCACAGAGGACATTCAGAGTGTTGTCCCCAGCCTGCAAGCCTTGGAGCGGGGGTAAAAACAAAGCTGGATCATCCCAGTTATTGTAGAATATTAAAAAGTACTTTTATGCATTTACACAGCTGTGGGAGTTTGGGTGATCAATTGCTCGTAATTAATATTGAAAGGCTAGATTTTTGTCTTTTTGATTGTGCTGAAAGGAATTCCATTGTAAATGCCAAGGACAACAGCTGAGAGGAAGGTGGTGATCTTACAGTGTTTTATTTCCCATTACCAAAACACTAACACGACATAATCAGTTTTAACATGGTTAAAAAAGATTCAATGTTGTCTGTGGAATCTATTTTTAAAAAAGAAGAGTTGTACATACATTTCTGTAAATTTCCAAGGAGTCTTATGAATAGCTTATTATTCATTCTGCATTGAAAGTCAGCTATTTAAAAGAAAAAACACGTTTTTCGTAATTCAGTGAAGAAGATTCTTTCCATCTGGGATTTATGCCTGACAGACCTGCAACCTGTTTCTCATTTATCCATATTTAAAAAAATATTCATTTTCATCTTTATGTTAAACATTACATATTCAAAAATAATTCAGTGAATGAACAGGACTCTTTCTTTGGTGCATTCTGTTTTTGCACACTTACAGTATAAGCTGCACCACGACATACTCTGCGGAAGAGTTTATTCTACCTGTAACTACATTCGTTTCAGCTACAACATACCTTGGTGGTAATGAACAGATCCCTCCGATGTCTTCCAGTACTTCAGCTTGTCATGCAGAATGATGTTTCCCACTACAGAAAGCTGTAGTGATGAAACTTGATGGGAGCCATTGGAATGGCTCGTCCGTCCACTGCCAGCTGAGGAACAAATTCAGAATGACAGGTATTTCATTCAGAGAGCTGGCAGTTATAGCCCCTTCCATCCCTTCCACTAACTGGTCATCAGCAAGACACGCAGGTCACCACTATCATTGGAGAGCATTGCACCTACTGTGGCAGGCATGAAGGATACCCTCTTAATGATATTTGTACCCCCACAGAATTCCCTCTGTCAAGCTCAAAGTTAAATTGCATACAATTTTAGTACATCTACATGTTCCTTTTTATTTTCTGTTTGCAGAAGCCTGTGCTTTGGATCACTGAAATTTGCTACTTCAAAACTCAGAGCTACAAAACTCAGGTGTTGCACAGGGAGCTTATTATAAGGAGCACGCATTTCTCTGCGCCAGTCCAATTTCTGCTCTCCCTGCCTCAGCAGGCAAGTCATGCAGTTTATGTTCCGTTCATCCTTCTCAGTCAGTTGAAGGGGCCTACAAATCAATCATATGTGTATTTCTTTTCAATCAGGCCCTCATAGAAACACCAGCACCTTAGAATACATAAAGGGCCATGTTCACACGGAATATCTTTTAGTTTTATTGATTTATTTTTACAATTTCCATTGTTGTAGCTGTCATTTTATTTTAAGTTATAAACCTTAGTTGTCCTTACAAAGGGCCATGAGAATGCATCTTTAGTTTTAGAAGCTGAATACAGTAGTTGCCTATTAAAAGCAATGATATATATTTAAAGTATATACTACGGCACTACATTGTAGTGCAGACTTGTTTTTCTTTCTCTGTGTATGCTTCTTGAAACTGCAAAAGTATTTACATTGTGTCTCAAAATAGTTTATCAGCAGAAAGCTTAATTATTACTTTCTAAGGGGGAATTACTGAACAATAATAAAAACTCAGGAGATGCATCACTGTCAAATATGTACAGTTAGACAAAGAGATTTAGGGTGTCAGTACCCTTGTCTGTAAGAATTCCTTGCTATTGCTTCTGCTTATTTTTACTTGGCATTCTAGCTACCTATAAAATATTCTGTCTGTGAAGAAAATGTTTTCATTTTCACAGCTAAGGTAGACAAATGTATATTATGATAAGTGTTATGCAAGGGAAAATCTGAATCACAGCTGCCTCGCCTCACTCATGTCCTTTGTTTGATTCCTGACCTGGGGGGGGGGGTCTATCTACACGGAGTTTGCATGTTCTACCCATGTTCACGTGGGTTCCCTCATCAGTTTCCTCCCACAGTCCAAACACATACTGACAGGTGAACTGGATTCTGAAAAGACTGGCCCTGGTGCGAGCGCGTCTGTGTGTGCCTTGAGATGGACTGGTGTCCCGTCCAGGGTGAGCCCTGCCTTGTGCCCGTTGCTTCCTGGAACAGACCCCAGCTCCCCTGTGACCCCGAACTGAATGAAGAATGTAGGAAATGCATGGACCAATCTATAGTAGCTGCATCTGGTTTCACTGGTTTTAAATGGGGGATTGCTTTATTAGGATCAAGCTGTGTATACCTCCTGGCTGCTTCACAAGTCTCGGGTCCTGGCTACAAATTGTGGACATGTGTGGCGTTTGCATGCTCTCCCTGTGTTTGCATGGGGTTTTGCACTGGTCTATGCCAGGTGCTGCATTTCCCTCCCACCTTCCAAAGACACACAGGCGGAGTCCAGTGGGATCTCTGGAGTGTGTGCCTTGATCATGGGCTTGAGCAATGGGCTCCAGCATGCCTCAGCCCCTACCAGCAATCCGACTGCTGATTATGCCTGGATGTTTTGGAAACCTTACAATGTACTGTATCGTTTTCTGTAAGCACATGGTAAGAACCAAGGATAGGACTGACCTTACCTGAATTAGAAAGGGTCATGATGCTGGAAGGGTGTCTGTTTTTTGGTGCCTGGTATCTGGATATCCAGCCATTGAAGTCCTCCTTGATGTCCCTGACATTGTAGTACCAGTGGACCGGCATGGACATAGCATCTCCAACACACATCCCCCACAGAGCTTCTTCTACAGCTTTTCGTACCCGAGTCATGTCTTACAAAGACACACAGACACGTCTGGTTATGAAAGGACTGATGATACGAACAGCTATAACGTAATGTAAGTGTAATAATTCGTTTCAGATTAATACAGATGAATGAGTACTTCACTGCGTAAAAATTCTGTATTTCCCTTAAAGAAGTGTCTGATATTTTTTATGCTTGTCAGGATCACGTCTGCTACTGTAATTAGTTTACACGCCGATCTCGTTACACATAATGATCCATAACCTGATTCTCCGCCTGCTCCCAGTACGATCAGTTGCTCGTTTGCGCGCTGCGTGAGATCTAGTTCCAGGCATTCTGAATTGTTATATACCAATGTTAACGAGCATTCTTACATCGATTGAATCAATGAATTGTTCTTCATAATTGTATTTTAAAGCACAAACGTTTTTAAATACGTACTGTCACACGGAAAACTGAAGATTAAATACACCGTCACAGTCGGGACACTGAACAGTAAAACTCTTGTGTTGCGTAGCCCACCTGACAATCTAAAAAATCCTGTCATCAAAACAGCTCCATTAACTCGATCAACCAAAATCGGACACCAGGCGCAGTATCTTACCTAATGAGGTCTGGAAGGGATACTACGGACAGCGCACAACTGCTTACTTCTACTCTCCTACAGGCGGAGAACTGTTCTGAATTTCAAGATTGCATAGGTTTCTACTGTGATGTTACAAAACATACCAGGAAGCAGAAACGCTTTAGGGACCAAGCTATCTGCAGTTATTATATAGCAGTTACTTGCCTGCTCTATTATTATAACTCATGAATTTTGAGAACTGTGCATCTTTACACCAAAGCGCAATTAGCTATACGTGCATTGCTTAATTTTATTTTGAAATTTGAAAGCGGTTTATAGACCTGCGTGGACTTCACTACACACTTGGAAAATAAGCTCAAAAACGAAAATGTGATTCAATACCATACACATCACACATCACATCACATCACAGAGGCAGTATATTCGTAATGAGGGGAATTTAGTGAAGTTTGGGTAAAGTCCTATATATATATATGACTGAGTATAACTTTAACTATAGTAATATTAACATTCTTAATTACAAACAGAATGAACTTTTGTTGCTCAATTCATTTTGTGAAACACGTTCATTCTTCCCAGAGAGGCTGCAAATAATCAACCACGACCAACTAGCTAACTAAACACCCCAAAACACCACACTCTCGACCCCCGTGAAAGGACTTTTATCTAACAAGCCGGAGACCAGAGCGCCGCCCCTGAACAAAACAAGGACGCCGGAAGTCGGGAGAAAGACATAGCTAGCCGACTTTAAGATTGGCTAGAATAGATATGTCGGAAAAAGCTATCTATACCTTATGAGAATGGAATTGTAACAGGTTGTATCTACATTTTCTAGTATCATTCACTCAAAAATAAATATACAAATGAAAATGAATGCCAAAAAAAAAAAAGATCATCTGAAAGGTGATCAAGTTCAGTTATCTGAAATCCATTAGGACATCCTACACCCTGGTATGATGTCATGAAACGCGACCAATTAAGTGTATTTCTTTCCATCGGTGTGGTAGTTGTTTTAGGAATGTATAGGTACCTCCCGTGAATACTTCAGGAGGTACATTTGTGCAATACTCATTAGATTAAACAAAATTACACAAATATAGTTGTTCGGGAAATGTACTGCTGGTGGAAATGTGTTCTCGGAAGATGCACAAAATCGAGGAAATCGCTGGTGTCCTAGTAAGCTTTTGATAATTTGGGTCACGACTACTACGAAAATTAAATGCATTTCAGGTGCAGGATTGTACATGTTCATGTTGCCACTATAATGCACAGACGTGCACCACGTCTCCCAATAATGGTCTTAGTGTAGAAAACAGTGTCTCAAGACATTTAGTTTGCATTAGTGTACTAGAGTCCCGATAAATGTTTTCTTTTTTGGTGACCCTTTAAATTTTCAAAGCAGAAAGCCTTTTAATGTGGTTCACTCTTGTTGAAATGCACGCTACTCGAATTACTCCGCCAACTAGGACGTTAACACTTCTTCACCTCATTGTGCAAACTGGATGATAACATAAAACTACCGAAATAGTATAAAGACTTAAAGACTAGAATAGGATTAACACGACTCGATGCTTAATTTCAGAATGTTTCTGTTTACTTGATTTTTACAGGTGGGGTTTATTATGCTTCATGTCGAACGGAATAATTACATTCTGCCCGGCCAACACAAGGAGACATTGGTCATTTTATGTGATTTTACAAATGTTTATGCATAGCCTCGTTACGCTTCTTGACATTACAAACAAATGGAGACAATTCAGCCAATCTAGCCTGTTTGGCAGTTAGTAATTTACTGATCCATCCAACCGTCACCTCAGCCAAAGTGTTTCTCGAAAGATGGAAGGTTATCAACAACATGACTGAGGAACTTGTTCCATACTCTCGCCTCCCTTCTTGTAAAGAAGTGCCACTGGTTCAATTCTAAAGCTCTAAGAATTCTCTGCATGATAATAAATTTCTTTTTTGGGTTGTTGGAAAAATTAACCAGTGAACATTTAATGAAAACCAATTTTTAGGAAAATGTTAGAAACATTCACTTTTGGTGTACAAAGTAATTCAAGTCATTATCGGACTGTTCTGCATTAAGTATTTAAGGATGTTTCTTTTTATGTGATTTATGTTCCCTGAGAATACATCAATTCAATTTTAATGGTAAATGTAGCGTTAATTACTACAACACTTCCAACTGTATGTTCATTTATTTTGTACAATGAAGTAGTTCAGGTGGGTAGCTGTGTCAGCATGCGTAGGCTGCAAAGGAACAAGTAAAGGTTTATTCCATGCTGAAAAGAGAAACACAGCGTTTCGGATGCGGAGCCTGACACCGAAACGTTGTGTTTTCTCTCCTCTGTTTTCAGCATGGAATAAACCTTTACTTGTTCTTTCTCTCTACTACGAAGCTGTAGCCATATTATTGACAGTCACAGATGTTGTGATTAGAGAAAACACTAGAGGAAGCTTTGAGTAAGTTGTTGGTGTTCATAAAATACATATTGATTAAGATGTTTGGTTGCAGTCTAGCACTTTGCTTTGCTGTGAGGGAGGTTTTTAGTCTCTGTTTTTAGTATGATAGAATGTGCTGTATGACGATTCATTTGTTCCTCCATCCATATACTGTATATTTATTTCCAGCCTGTATGTTTTCCCTGAGCAGGGAAGATGCCTTTGAAGCACAGGGTGACGAGAGGAAAAGAGCACAACCACGTGAAAGCCCACCCCTAGCAAGATAAGCTGCGTGTTTCTTCACATGTTAAAGTGTGTGAAGGCCTTTTAAACCTCAGGGTAAGAAATGGAAGGCACTTTTTCATATCTTTGTGTTTGCCAGCCGCTGATGTTTCATTGAGCAGGTTGCGAGTTGTTTCCTGTTCTTCCTCTGTGAAGTAATCCGTTCATTTACAGATATCCCTGGGTACACACTTGCAGGAGCCTTGCACAAAAGCTATCGCTTCTTATTCTGAAATTAAAAAAAATAAATAGCATCACTTTTTATTCTTCCATCTCTCCCACTGGAGAATTTGCTTCTGTGCTGGAGAGTATCAAGGTCCCCCTTGTTCAAGAGAGGGGATATGACCTGTCATCTCCTTTATGCTAAGCACAATTGTAATGTTCCAGTTTTCCTATCTGCGTTATCAAAACTACAAGCGGCAGTAACATCACAGCACAGATTTAAACACTTCAGTCACTAAAGTGACTTGCTGTAGTCATTCGGTCGGAAACAATCGTGTTTGAAAAAATCTTTCAGCCTGCCCTGCTTTTCATTTGCAGTGTATTTTAATGACCTTTAGAAATCATGAATGAAGCCACTTCAAATCAGATGCTGTTTTTTGTGTATCTCCTAGATGAACAGTCTGTCATTGGGAAAGTGCTTGGGAGAGGACCCAACATCTGAAGTTGGTAGGAAATCTGTTCAATGTTTGTAAAAAAACATGGCTATTTTTACTCGGTTCATAAGAAATGTGTTTTCGGAAAAGTTACATCAGAATTGTGAAATAAAATATATTTTCCCTAAATGAAATCAAAATGACTTTTAAGGGTTATAAAAACATTCTTATGACTAATAATTTGCTGCATTGTAAGATATCAGTAATGAAATATAAAATAATGTAAGAATCATTAAAAACAAATACATTTGACATGAAGAAGGTTTTTGAAAATTCAAACATTAAAAATACATCAGTTATGTGCCATAAATTTTCAAGACATTAATACATGTACTTCACAGTAACATCTTCTGTTACATTTGGTGAACACCAAAGTTTGAAAACCACTTTGCTGGCAAAGTTCTGTTCTTTTTTTGTAATGTAATAATACGTTATTGATTTTTTTTTCCAGAGAAGGCAAAAATATTTTGGAGCAAACTGCAAACTCGCAATCAAGTGGACCATGCCTTTGACCTGTTAAACACCTATTTGAAGTCTCTTAAAGAAGGTATCAAGGACCAGTCTGCGACAAATCAAGGTGCAGGAAAAACGCATTTAAATAAACTGAAAATATTTTTCAAAAACTGCAACACAGTCCCTTTAATACCCTATGGTGTGCAGGTATCTTATATGATATTTTATACAGATCTGAATACATGCCAGTGGGTGTTGGTTTGTCCATATAGGATATGTATTTCCTTTTTGTGAGTTTTCAGCTAGATCTGAAGCAATCACTATGAAATGCATTTAGAATAATTCCTCATTGTAATGGATGATGGATGATGCGACGGCAGCCATAGTGCGCCATTACTCTCACCAGCTCTCATTGGGGAGGAGAGCAGAGTGATGAAGCCAGTTCAGAGAGGGGGGTTATTAGGAGGCCATGACTGGTAAAGTCACGGGGGGGAATGTTGGCCAGGACACTGGGGTGACACCCCTACTCTTTTCGAGAAATGCCCTGGGATATTTAATGACCACAGGGAGTCAGGACCTCAGTTTTACATCTCATCCGAGGACACCTTAGCTTCAGTTCAGTTTAAACAGGAGTTTAATGATGTAATAAGAGCTCTGCTGGTTTGGAAAGTCGAAGTCCCCCCCAAACCATTCTGAAGCCACGAACTTGTTACCTTCCCCCAGAATGTTTACTCTGTGTTTTTGTTTGTTTCTAGAGTATGTGAGGGCCATGAACATTATGCTGGAAGTTGGCATGAGAAATTGTTTCATTAAAGAACATGACACTTTTGAAGAAATCATATTAAGTGCAGGTGAGAATGCAAAAGGAATAACTGTTTGAAAAGACTGCTTGTACTCCCTGTGTGAATAAAGCACCAGCAAAACATGGGCAAGGATTCTGTTTCAACATTTCCTTAACTCTTTTGCTTAGTGGATGAAAGGCATTACAGTAAAGTATTCAGCCTCACTCTTTAGTAGTGGCTATTTGTAAATACAGAGCAGAGATGGATTCAGGATTCGGGGGTCGTCGAGATTTTTGAGACCACAGCTGTTTATTTCAAAGTAAGAACACAAGAAAAGCTACAAATGCAAGGATGTTATTTAAGCCATCTAGCTGGTTTGCTTGCTAGTAGCTATTTGACCCACGGATCTCACCCAGCCATTAATTTAAACAAATCAGGGACTTATTTTCAGCATCTTGTTCCAGTGTCCTAAAACCCTTTGTGTAAAACACTGTGTCCCGCTTTAAGCTTCCAGCTCACTTCCCTGCAGTTTCCACTTCTGTCCTTTGCTTTTGGTTTCAGTGCTGATTCTAACTTTGAGGAATCTGATTACTTGAATCGCATCTAATCGGGACTAAAACATGAATTCTATTAGCCTGTCAGTGTAGGACATTCCTTTCAAACCCAAGAATATAACTAGCCACTCTTCTTTAGCATCAGTGACTTTTTTGTAACATGGTGAGCAGAATCACATAGAGTACTGAAAATAAGGTCTTAGCAATGCATTGTGCATTCTAATATAGCATCCCTCAGTTTAAATGTTGTGCTATTTTTAATTCTGTTGACATATTTAACACAATTCCTCTAGATCAGTGATAATCACACCTGGTCCTGGAGAGCCCTAAGTCTACAGGGACCTCAAACCTCTCAATGACTTAAAGGTTGTAATGTATAAAAAATGTAGTTCAGGTTGGTAGCTGTGTCAGCATGCGTAGGCTGCAAAGGAACAAGTAATAGGTTTATTCCATGCTGAAAAAAAAGAAGAAAGAGAACACTCCACAGCCGAAATGTTGTGTTCTCTTTCTTCTTTTTTTCAGCATGGAATAAACCTATTACTTGTTCATGTATAAAAAATTGTAATTAATGACAAATTACCAGTTGCTTCAGCTAAGCCATTCAGAGCTCTGGTCAGTGTCTGAGAATGTCTGAGACTTAGTGTAGACTACTGTTGTTTTATCATCCACTGCTGATAGCAGTGCACCACCTGTTAAAGGGTGAACTTACTGTCTGTAGCATTTTAGGATTTAAAAAAATGTGTTTTTGCTGTCTTTCGGGCCAGAACTGTTTAACCTGAGGTTTCATGACTGAAACTCCAGTAAAATATAAGAGTGGCGTGTCCTTCAGCTAGTAACAGTAACAAAAATGCTGCCCATATCCTTGGTTGAGTTGCACCCCATTCCCACAGGCTTTATGGCTAGATACATTATTAAACAAACTGTTGAGACGTTATTGTCAAATTGCACTGGTTTCCTGTTTATTTTAACCTAGAGACAGCTGTTGCAGAGGAGAAGAGTGATCTGTGGAACTCTAAAGAAGATCTGGATTGTGAGAATGTGGCAGATGACACATCGTTAGATGATCAAAGGTTTTTACTTGCCTTTTTTAAAATATTTATCATAATTGTTCTATAATATAAAAATTTATCCGGGAGTTTCTCCCTTGACAGATTGAGATGATCAAAGCGGTTCAGTATGGTGAAAATATACAAATTTAATTCGCCTTTCAAACCGCAAAAACAAGAAATAATCATGCATCACGCTCTAAAAAAGTCCCTTTTCCCCTGCTGATGATCTTGATACAGCACTACCCGAAAGAAACCACATTTAATTTGGCTGGGAGATGTGCAGTGTGCAGTGGATAGGTCTATTTTTTGGGGGGGATTTGTACTGTGCGCCACAAGAAAGGATAATGTAGTTCAGGTGGGGAGCTGCGTCAGCATGCGTAGGCTGCAAAGGAACAAGTAATAGCTTTATTCCATGCTGAAAAGAAGAAGAAAGAGAACACAACGTTTCGGCCGTGGAGCCTTTTTCAGGTGTCAACCTTCAGGACACCTGAAGAAGGCTCCACGGCCGAAACGTTGTGTTCTCTTTCTTCTTTTTTTCAGCATGGAATGAACCTATCACTTGTTCCCAAGAAAGGATAATGACGATCACAACGCCGTTGAGTTTGTCACGTCCGCTAACCTCCATTTCAATGATCGGGGTCTCTTTTCGGACAGAAATCAGGAAAACGGGCCCTGCAGCGGGGTCTCGGCCCCGCCGGGAGATCTGCCGGTGCCGGGGCCCGCCGGGGCGCGGGCCTTCCT